CTCATGTCCCTTAGCAATAAATCTCTCTGGTTGCTGCATATAGATGTCTTCCTAAAGGTTTCCATTAAGGAAAGCCTTCTTCACATCCATCTGCTAGACCTCATAATCTATATGAGTGGCTACAGCTAAAAGAATCCGAATGGACTTAAGCATGGCTACTGGCGAAAAGGTCTCATCATAATCGGTCCCCTCTTTTTGAGTATAATCTTTCGCAACAAGCCTAGCCTTGAAGGTCTCAACCTTCCCATCTGATCCTCTCTTTCTCTTGTAGACCCACTTGCATCCAATGGGTTGTACCCCCTTGGGCGGTTCTACAAGATCCCAGACCTGATTGGAGTCCATTGACCCCATTTCAGCACTCATTGCAATATTCCATGATATTGCATCCTTATCTAGGAGCACCTCGTCATAGGTCCTAGGGTCCGAATCCAGCTCACCTGGCACTGAGTTCGATGACTCTCCAAGGAACATATATCGATCAGGTTGTATAATAACCCTCCCACTACGACGAGGTATTATCTGCACTGGTATAGGCTCAGTGTGTCGTATTGCAGTATTATGTGATGTATCTACTTGCGCAGTCGGTGGGGAACTCTCGACTTCACTCCTCAACTCCTCTAAGACAATTCTACTCGTGGGCTTGTAGTTCATAATATAGTCTTCTTCCAAGAATCTAGCGTTCGTGCTGAAGATCACCTTCTAATCCTCTAGACTATAAAATAATCCACCTTTCGTTCCCTTGGGATAGCCAACAAACACCCGTGCTTCCGAAAGCTTTTCCAATTTGCTAGTCTGCTGCACCAAAACGTGTGCAGGGCTACCGCATACCCTAAATTGTGAGAAACTGGGCCTACGCCCTTTCCACAATTCATAAGGAGTAGTCTCTACGGACTTCAATGGAACCATGTTCATAATATACGATGTTGTTTTCAATGCCATACCATAGAACGAATCGGGTAACCTCGAATAACTCATCATTGACCTAACCATCTCCATAAGAGTCCAATTCCTTCGCTCTGCAACACCGTTCTGCTGGGGTGTGCTGGGTGCAATCAATTGGGATTCAATCCCAGCTTCTGATAAGTATGTCCTAAACTCTCCAAAGAGGTATTTGTCACCTCGATCGGATCGAAGTGACTTGATACTCGTACCATGAAGCTTCTCACAACTTCTCGATACTCTTTGAATTTCTCAAAGCACTCGAACTTGCGGTGCATCAGGTAGACGTACCCAAATCACGAGTAATCATCAATGAAAGTGACAAAGTACTCGTAACCACCTCTATCTTAGATCGACATGGGACCACACAAATCAGAATGAATCAATCCTACAACACTCTCACTCCTATACCCCTTTGCCGAAAACGGCTTCTTGGCCATCTTACCTTTAAGGCACGATTAGCAAGTTGGATAATTATCTTCTAGTGGACTGAGATGTCTGCTAGACACCAACTTTTGAATCCTCCTAAGGTTGATGTGTCCAAATCTAAGGTGCCAGAGATATGTCTGATTCATTTGTGAAGGCTCTTTCCTCTTATTAGATTTAGTCAATACATCATTCAATTCTGATTGTTGCACTGTGGGATAGTTTGGTTTAGGAACATACAAATTGCCAACTAATGAACCAGAACAGATAAAACGATTCCCATAACGAATAATAACCATGTCATTAAACGAAGCAGAAAACGAATCCCGGATATCGATCGAGGACTTTACTAAGTTAAACTCCTCTGGACGCGCGAGACTTCTATGACTTCACTGCGCTTCGCTTCTAAGTTGGGGCTAAGTTCCATCCATAGAAAGTCTAGAAACTGAAAAAAGATTCTTTCTAAAACTCGGAACATAAAGACAATGTCTCAAAACCAAACTAGTACTACTCAATAATAAAGTAAAGTCTCCCACTGCAACGGCCGTCACTTTTATGACATTGGCCATGTAGACGGTGATCTCTCCTTTCTTAAGTCGTCTGGTTTCTTGGAACCCCTGCAACGAATTGTAGACATGATCAGTGACTCCAGTATCTATGCACCAGGTACTGGTAGATACATCCGCTAAAGATGTTTCTACGACAAAAGCATGAGAATTATCTTCTTTCCCCTTGTTGAGGACAGGGCAGTCGACCTTCCAGTGTCCTGACTTATTACACTTGTGGCACTTCCCTTTCAATTTCTTTGCCACTGCCTGAGGGGCCGATCGTGGAGCGACTGCAGCCACTTGCGCCTTGGCCTTTTCCTGCAGACTTCTTTCTCTTCCTGCCCTTGCTGGGCCCAGAGAAAGGTCCTGCCTGCTTGGCGACTAGCACTCGAGGTTTTTGATGAAATAGACCTACTACCGACTGAAGCTCTGCTAAAAGTTCCGGAAAAGACATCAACATCTTATGCATGTTGTAGTTCAAACGAAACTGATCAAAGCTCTTCGGTAGAGACTGGAGCATAATATCAACCTGGGTTTCCCCGTCAATAAATGCTCCTAGGGCGTGCTCCATCACGAGTGTGCCCTCGGCCATACGCATGTTCATCAGAGTCCTCATGGCTTCCTGCCAAGGAGCCCTAGACTGATGCCCAAACAGATGCGGAGTATCTCTGTCGCAGTGTTCATAAACTGATGCTGATATTGAAGAACATTCAACGTGGATACCAGAATGTAACACTTCGCCATCTCATCAGCCTTCTTCCACCTAGCATACTCTTCCCTCTCTTGATCAATGGCATTCGGTCCGGGCATTTCTGGACAAGCCTCAGTGAATACATACTTGTACCCATTGTCTTCCAATCATCAAAGTTTGGACTAGTAAGTTGATTTTCTGTTAGAATAGCGGATAACGGATTGAACGATATATTGAATTAAGCCTGAGAATCTCGAAAATATTTTTACTAAAAACACTTTGAATTAACTGTTAACATTGATATCCTCAAAACAATATTAACTTAAATTCACCGACATCTCAAAACACCGAGAGTACCGTATGATATGAAGGTAACCATACGTACTCAACATTCGCAAGAAAAGGGTTTTCCAAGAACCCATTAATTTCCATAAGTCAAAACCAAATTCATGACAAACGAAATTAATAGTCGATCTCCGTTTAGCCATGCACTAAAATTCAGGGACCCTGAAGAGGGTTAATAAATTTTGTCGCATTCTAACTGAATCCCATTTCTCGATTCTAAGGTCATCAAATTTGATTATATGTCCTCCGAGGGGAGACCCGCACGCTCTCATAAGATTTTCTACAATCGTCCAATTAAAAATTTGTTATGGTAATTTCCTAGATTTAATTTTAGTGATGTTACCATAGGGGGAACCCATACTTCAATTAATTGATTTATCAACAAATCAGAAATGGAGGCCTTAAGAATTTTGAAATTAGCTTTAATTTTAAAATCACTTCTCAAACTTGGTATTTTAAAATGAGCATTTTTAAATATATTATGCAATTCTAAATTAATCTAATTCATAAAGCAATAATTAATTCTCATGCATAAATTATTCATTCAAATAAATAAATTCTCATGCATAAAGCAATAATTAATTCTCATGCATAAATAAATAATTAATAGTCATAATATAATTTAAATAAATAAATTCACTATTATGATCATTAATTATTGAGTCTAATTGACAAGAAAACCATATATCAGATATGGATCTTTTGATTTCCTAAGTCAACTAGAACTCCCGCTGCAGCAGAATCCTATTAGATATCCAACTGCTTGTCCGCCAAGAAAATCCACCTTGCCCGCCGGAGGGTCGCCGTCGCCGCCGAGGAAAATCGTCGGATTTTTTTTTTCTCTCGCTCACGCGCCTTGCCGCGGTCCCGCGGCGCCTCGCCGTCGCGCGAGATTCTCGCCGCAGCCGCCGCTACGTGTTAAACGCGCGGCCAGCTGGGCGAGAACACGACTACCGCCGCCACCGAGAGATGAGGGACACAATGACAGCGGACGCTGTGGCACACATGGTCCCGCAGCGGAGGGTCTTCACTGCTCGTTCTCTGGCGATGTCAGTCGCCTCTGCAAGTATGACAAAACCTGGAGGCATGGCTGCACGTGACGTTGGTTGGGGACGGCGGCGACTGGATCGGACGGCCGGTTGCCGGCGACGGGCGGAAGACGGCGACTGCAAGGTGGTGGTGTCGATTTTGTGTGTGTGTGTGTGTGTTTTGTGCGTGTGTGTGTTAGGTGTGTGTATAAGTGTGTGTTTTTTGTGATTGTGATAGAGAGAAAGAGGGTAAATGTGGTGGCGTGGTGGGTAGGTATGGTGGAACCTATTGGTGTGTTTAATGTTTTATTTACCCTTACTTAGTGGTCAAATGTGTGTTAAATTACTATATTGTCATTATTGATTGACCAAATTTTAACTTTATTCTAACCATTGATACGTAGAATCTAGTGGTCTACAATCATTTTTTTTTCTTTCATTATCACTCTTTCTCATATTATCCCTTATATATATATATAGAGAGAGAGAGGGATATATATAGATAGAATACTTCAATCTTATCTTCTCGTTATCCTTGCAACCGACCCACCCAACTCACATTTGTATTGACCTTTAGCGATTAGTTTACCAATGAAACGTGACACTGGTCATTAATAAGAACTTGCGATAGGATATAATTAGTTGGCAGCCAAGTTGAAATTTGTGTCCATTACTTAGACCTTGATCACCTCACGAACCAAAGCGTAACTTTCGGGTGACGAAAATTTTCATTTACGTCATTACATGTATGTATGTCATGGTACTTCTATCTACCAATATATAACAATGAACAAGTCGTACCATCAAGCGAATTCGATTCTCAAATCTACAACAATTTCCAGCCTTTATAAATACTATATATATATATATTAAACTTGATCTCTTTATAAAATTTTTAAATGTCTATCTCATTATATATATATTAATGTTTGCATGGATCCGATGACTGCATAAATAAATTTACAAAATAAATATAAAAATAGGAAAAATAAAAAAAAGTAGAAAAATGTAAAGAAAAGGAAAGGAAAAAGAAAATCATTAATAAAATGTGCACTATGGTCTAGATGCTATTCCCTTTCCCTCTATAAATTAAAGAGATACACATCCACATCCACTCTCCTAAAGTGAAAACTCACTCCTCTAAATTTCTAATCACATCTCCAGTCCTCCTAATATCTCTTTATTACACGGATGCCTCCAACTCCAGTTCCTGCCATCAAAGTTGGGCATATTCATGATGTCCAAGAACTGGGAAAAAACAAATCGTCAGAAATCCCTGAAAGGTTTATCAGGGACACTTTTGAGCGGCCATCTCTAGAGCAGCCCATTTCATATGACAACAACATACCTATTATTGATTTCTCAAAACTTGTCAAAGGAAATAAAGACGATGATGATTTTTGTACTGAGATAATGAAGCTCACAACTGCGTGTCAAGAGTGGGGATTTTTCCAGGTGATTATTATTATTATTATTATTATTTTGAAGTCACATACAATTTTAGGGCTGAATTTGTGAGTTTATAAATAGAAAGAAATGTCAGGGACAGTCAGAATTTCGACAATAGCTGAATGTCTTTATAATTAGAGAGAAATTCAGGGGTANCATCTTGTTTTTTGTGATTATATTTGATAATTTTGGGTTTTTGACCACTAATATGGCAGGTGATGAACCATGGAATTGAAGTTGAGTTGCTAGACAAAATAGAAAAAGTGGCCATGGAATTTTTCAACATGCCTTTAGAGGAGAAGAAAAGGTATCCAATGGCTCCAGGGACAGTGCAAGGGTATGGACAAGCTTTTATTTTCTCAGAGGACCAAAAGTTGGATTGGTGCAATATGTTTGCACTTGGGTTGGAGCCCAAGTCTGTAAGGAATCCAAAGCTTTGGCCAACTAAACCCTCTGATTTCAGGTATACATTAAAATTAATATTTATTTGAATATAAGAACCTTATAAACTAGCTTATTTATTTATCGAACATAGTCATAGTGTTTTACTCATTGTCTTTCAATCTGGATCGACGGACGGATTTATTTGCAAGTCCCTGCTGATTTCGGTTGCTTTGCAATCTACCCTTCAACAACCCAAACAACACAACTTTGGCTCAGTCGACCCCTCAAGGCATGATTGGATATAGAAAATTCAGTCATGACTGACCAGATATTTTTTATAACTCAAAATCTACTGTAAATTTAACGCAACACACTCAATTCAACCCAACTCTTCTCAGGTCCATCAATATAAATTAACTATTATCAATCATCATCCTCACACATCATATCAACTTTAATTCACTATTTATTCATTTACATAATTTTAACTACTCAGAACTTTCAATTATATTTTGTTGGAATATCACTCGTGAGTTGTCCCACATTGATTATATAGGGAAAATGAGTCTAGTGGGCTACTCCTCCCATCACTAATTAATTTTGGGATGCAACCTCACTAAGGTGCATCTAGGTTCACCCTCTTATGGTGCGCTTCATCTGGTGGGCCTCTTTCCCCGGTTGTAATATATTTTTATTCTACTTTTACATCAAATCAACTTTAATCATTTTATTTTAAATATTATTTTAATACAAACTCAAAATTCCTCTCAAACTAAACTCAATTAACGTTTTTCAAAATGAACTCGCTTTATCCAACAAATCCAATCAAATTCAAATTAAATATATTAAATTTTTATTTATAACTTATTTATTTTGTTGATTTTAGTGATATTCATAAGAAAAGTAGCACATTAATGATTTTTAAATTTTCGAAGTGTAACAAACCCGGTGATCCGATCATCTCGTGAACTGTCACACTCTTCGGCCAAACTTGAAAACATTAGTTTTACTTAATAAGGAATTATTATTTATTTATTATTATTATTATTATTATGGATCCTGTGAGGACAACGGGAAACAATATATGGATATTGTTATTTTCTTAACTAGACATTTTTTAAAAATCATTTTACTAAAAATAATATCATATTATAAATAAAATTTATGGTCATTACATGCGTTGTTATAGTGTTTAAACTTTTTTTTCTATTTATTTTAATCTTAATTATTTTTATCTATTTGTAATAAAATGAACGAAAAAATGCACCTATATCAGGATGTTTGGTAAATTTGCATGATCTTTCAACTTTTGCAAATTTATTACAACATTAATTCTTTTTTCAAATCGATTCACGAATTTGGAAATCCTACCAATGAAAGGTTGGCGTGCCCGTAGAAGTTCTACGTAGCTGCTGATGTGTACTGGTCGGTTGATTTTATTTTCCGTGTCGGAACAAAACGACGTTTCTTTCTCAATCTTTAATTAAATTGCAAAAACAAGAACACTAGAAATCATTTACCCTCTCAAGAACACCAATGGGTGATAATCTAAATCTTCCAAGAAAAATGTTCGGAGCCCCGATGCGACGACCGACGGATTGGATTATAGTCGACAACGTTTCGATCCGCCGCAGAGATCACCGCAACAAACGGCGATGAGGGACTGAGCGGCACTATGGATGCAAACGAGTCGAGCCGAGTCGAGCATTGGCCTCATCGGGCAGGATTGTTTTTTTTAGCTGCTCAACCTCGTTGAGCTCGATTTTATAAGACTCAAGCTTGACTCGATAAAAAAGTACAATCGCTCGAGCTCGACTCAAAATAAAAATGCTCGAGCTCGGCTCAAAAATTTTTATATAAAAAATAAAATTACCATTAAGCACCTATGCTATAATATTGTGTATATATATATATAGGGTATTTTAGTAATTCAACATTGTTATATTTATAGAATCGGGGGAAGAGAGTGCGGTCCCACCAGATGAAACGCACCATAAGAGGGTGAGCCTAGTTGCACCTTAGTGAGGTTACATCCCAAAAACAATTGGTGATGGGAGCTCACTAGGCTTATATACTAGGCTCATTTTCTCAACAGAATCAATGTGAGACAACTCACAAGTGATATTTCAATACGCCCCTCACTTGTGAGTCCTTCGTAAGTCCAAGCCCACATAGCAGACCGGGTAGAGAGATAAGCTCAAGCCCAGAGCAGGTCGGGTAGAGAAAGTCATTGCAGGTTCTAGGACAGGCCCACTCTGATACCATATTATATTTATAGTATCGGGGGAAGAGAGTGCGGTCCCACCAGATAAAGCGCACCATAAGAGAGTGAGCCTAATTGCATATTAGTGAGGTTCCATCCCAAAACCAAATGGTGATAGGAGGAGTAGCTCACTAGCCAGGCTAATATTCTAGGCTCATTTTTCAATTGAATCGATATGGGACAACTCACAAGTGATATTCCAATAAACATATATCTCGAGCCGCTTGACAATGCAAGATATGGGATGAAGCTCGACTCGAGTTCGATTAAACTTGAGCTTGAGTCGAGCTTTTACTCGAGAGCTCGCGAGCTGCTCGATTCATTTGCAGTCCTAAGCTGCACAACCAAATGTATTTGGGTGGTACACGACTCTCGGATTGGGGTATCAATTCAATTTTCAAAATCTGATGGCTACGAGAAGAAGGGTTAGGCTAAATAAGAAAAAAATTTATTTTTGCAATTTAATTAATTAAATATTGAGAAAGAAAACCACGTGATTTCGTTGTAACTTTGAAAAATAAGGCAAAATTGTCCTTAATATCATGACTTTTTTCAAAATTGCAATTTAATCACGACTTTTTCACTTTTGCAAATTATATCACAATCTCCAGTTTGTTGCAAATTGGTGCACCAATTTGCATATCCCGTGCAAACTATATCACAATCTTCAGTTTGTTGTTCAACCGCATCAGCTTTTTTATGACTGTTTTCAGACTGTTTGCAACAAACTAAAGATTGTGATATAATTTGCAGAAGTAAAAAGGTCATGATTAAATTGCAACTTCGATAAAGGCCGTGATATTAGGGGTAAATGTGCCGAAAAATAAATAGGGTGGCTCGTACACATGAGCAGTTACATGGAAAATCTACATGGCAGGTCCAAAATCATGAACCAATTTGTAAAAACGTGAAGGTGGTGATATAATTTGCACAAGTTTTAGTACATTAAGTATTTTTTTTTTTATTAATTTTGATCCATTAGTACCCAATCACATAAGAGAGTGGCAGGTAAACATATATAACATTTTCCTATATCATTTACTTGAATGATGTATGAACAAAAATTCTATGGAGTCATCGGATGGTTTTTTTATAAAATCATCCACCACTTAATGGATTGATACCTGTCCAATATGTATTTATTGAAGGACATATGTCAATACACTATTGGTTAATAAGTGTGGATGACTCCATAAGTCGAGCCATCCGATGGCTCCATAACAAAACTGGATGTATGAAACATATTTATTTTGTGTATGTATTTAATATTTTGCCAAAAAAAAAAAATGTATGTGGCAGTGAAACACTAGAGATATACTCGAGAGAAATACGGAAATTGTGCAAGAACTTGCTCAAGTGCATAGCTACTACACTGAGTTTAAAAGATGATGTTTTTGAGGAGATGTTTGGGGAGACTGTCCAAGCCGTGCGGATGAATTACTACCCAGCATGCCCCAGGCCCGATCTCGTTTTGGGCCTCAGCCCACATTCTGATGGAAGTGCTATAACCGTTTTGCAGCAAGGTAAAGGCAACCCAATTGGGCTTCAGATTCTTAAAGACAATGGTTGGGTATCCGTTCAACCCATTCCCAATGCTCTAGTCATCAACATTGGTGATACACTAGAGGTAATAAATAAATAATACTCAAGTTAAATAATCTAACTTAAGTTTCTATAATTATTTTTTTCTTTAAACTTTTTTTTTTTTTTTCATATTTTTCATTGGATTGATAAGTTTTTGAAACATATTTAAACAGGTGCTAACAAATGGGAGATACAAGAGTGTCGAACATAGGGCAGTGGCAAATAAAGAAAAAGACAGGCTATCAATTGTGACATTTTATGCTCCAAATTATGAAATGGAAGTTGGGCCAATGAAAGAAATGGTGGATGACAACAATCCCTGCAAATACAGAAGATACAATCATGGAGAGTACAACAAACATTACGTTACCAGCAAGCTTGAAGGCAAGAAAACACTTGAATTTGCCAAGATTATCAACAAATGATTATAAGCATCTCCCTAACTAGTGCATTAGATTGGTTTCCTTTTAGTCAGACAATTAATGTGTTAGGTGGAATGGAATGTTCGTCATCAAGTTACTAGTGTTCTGTTTCCATATAATATAGCACATCGCAACTTAACTTATGTGTTCTGTAAGCATATTTAACATTATGCTAATATAATAAAGTCGTCCTATAGCTACTCTGATACAAAATTTTGTGTGCCGTATCTTGGACCCTAAATCATTTTAAATTATGGAAATTTTTTTACTAGGATTTCAGGTATTAATTTATTATTAAATCGCGTTCAAAGCGGTAATTTTCAACAAACTATTGTGATTCATTCAATTTAGATTTTATTTTAGGCGTTTAAAGTTTTTAAAATTGTAATGGTAACATCTATATTATCTCCTAAAATATATAAGTTTTATTTTACGTGTTTCAATATTTTAAAAACTATGATGGTAACATTTAAAATATTTTCTAAATTATACTTTGTCATTAGTCTTATACCAAAAACTAAAAATCCTCAAAAATGAGTTTAGACCTTTAAACCTCTGCACTGTCACTTGTAAAAACTATGATGGTAGCATTTAAAATATTTTCTAAATTATACTGTGTCATTAATGTCTTAACTAGAGTATCAATTAGTTTACATCCTTTTACTTTAACTATTGTTTAACGGTAATTAGTCTTATCCCAAAAACTAAAAATCCTCAAAAAGTTTAGAATATTATATGCATAAATATAATTTATAATACTCTATATTTAAAATATAATATTGTTATCTAATTTATAATTTTAATAATATATGTATACAAATAACTCATAATACATAATTTACATTTGCGCAAATACACAGGTCAATACTAGTGTGGACTTATTCTTCAATATATTCCTTCTTATCCATTAAAGCCGGTCTTGTGCAGTATCTTATATATATATATATATATATATATAGGATTTGGTTCAAATGAGAACTAAGTCCTAGCGTGAGAATCGTGAGAACCGCTATTTTTAATTATATGTAGTGCTATGATTGTATTTTTTAGTGCTATTTTTAATCAGGATATATTTTATTAAAAATAGCAACACAATTTATGTTAGGGTCACGCTCCGGTGAGAATGACTCTTAAAAACCGCTATTTATATATATATAGGGTCACGCTACGGTGAGAATGACTCTTAATGCTAGAAATGAGAATAAATCGTAGCCATTGGATTCGATGATCTAATGGCTAAAAAAGTCAAATTATACATTCATTAAGGGTAGTGTTGTGATTGTTCACATCCAAACAGTGAGACCCACACATCACTCTCATGACTCATCTCACACGTGAACCACACCCACTCCAAGCCATTTCTCTCTCCTCCCCTATCCCCAACCCATTTCTCTGTCCTCTTGTATTCCCGAACCCGCTCATCTTCTTCCCATGTCCAACCGCCACCGTCTGGCGGCGTCGCCCGTCGCCGCCGCCACTAAACCGGCTGCCGCCTCCTCTGATAAACCCGCCGACGCCACTAAACCCTCCGCAGCCGGCGGCTGTATTTCTGAGATTTCCCGCCGCAGCCGCGACGCCTCCGTCCGTCGCTGCTAAACCACCAGCCGCTGCAGCCTGTATTTCATCTTTTGCGCCATTTTTGACTTTTCCGTCACCATTCGAGCGCGCTCGAGCAGAGACGGCGTCGAGTGGTGGAGCCTCACAAGGAACTCGGCGATGTCTGACATGGCTGTGAGACCACTCCTCGTCGGCGCCACTCATGCCGTTGTCCAAAACCCGCCGCCGCTACCTTCACCTTCCTCCTAAGCCACCCCGTGTAATTCCGCCACTCATGACCACTCCGCTACTCCGCTGCCTCGATGATGTCCAGCGAGTCGGATACCTCCGCCATCCACACCGTAGTCTCTGTCCTCCCCGCCGCCGACCCGTCCCGACGCCGGCGCCGTCCGCCTATGCCGGAGATGGAAACAAGCAGCACATTATCTCTTTGACTCTTCTTTCTGCAACTAGACAGACCTCCGATTAGGGATTGGAAAAATTGAATTTAGGGAAAATGAATTTTCTTTTGTAAATTAGATAGTATCAAGGGACCTATCTGCAAATTAATAAATTTTAACTATATTACGATTTAATTAATGGGTTAAATTTATAAATTAATAAAAATTGTGGGTTACACTTTAATGTGCAATGCATTGCACCTTATCGCGTTCGGAATTGCAATATAGTTAAAATTTTAATGATAAAAGGGCCTATTTGCAATTTCTTAAGTTTTGATTTCATAAAATAATATAAAAAATAAATTATGATAGTAAACAAATTATATAATAAAATGATAAATAAAGTTTTAATTATTTAGGTTAATTCGATGTACAATTATATATATTAAAACTAGTTTTCGAATACATGTAATTTATATTACATGAGAAGATATAAATTAGCGCACTTTATATAGCATAATATTGCATTTTATAAAACAACACGTTGCACTTTATAAAAGAACACATCCCACTTTATCATCACAATCCACAATTAATGTCAACAGTTATCACTAAAATATTACTCAATATAAATTTATAAAACGGATCTACATAATATTTTAATATACATTACATCACAAAACACTAGGCATGCTAACGTATCAAAATTTCATTATTGCACTGTATATATCAACATGTTGCACTTTATACAACAGTACATTGCACTTTATAACACAACATGTTGCACCTTAAAAACATCACGCTACATCTACCAAAATTGTTGTAATTATGTTAATCGATCGAATACTATTAGTTGAATAAATGTCGGATTTGATTTTTTTTTTTTAAGAAACAAAACAACCAAATATGATGAACTATATGGAAAAAATAATATTAATTTATAAATGTCAGATTGCACATTAGGGATCGAATCCGACCTAACTCAATTTTACTCAACTAAAAATAATATACAAAAATTATAAATAATAATATTTTCATATTGAAAATAAATTTATTATAAACAACAAATTATTTCGATTGTTTAATATAATTCGATTAACCGAACTGAATAAATCACTGATTATGATCATTTCCAACTCGATTTGGGACAAAAAAATATTCGGTTGGTTCAATATAATTCATTTCAATTATTATTTTTATACTTATAAAATCTCGGTAATGCACTTTATAGATCAACACGTTGCACTTTATAATACAACACGTTGCACTTTACGAAACAACACGCTGCACTTTATCACGATTATTAGATTTCACGATATAGATCGAAACTGAACGAACTCGAAGATTTCAACCACGAATAATATAGAAATAATAATTAAAATTATTAACACATTGAAAATAAATTTAGTATAAATAACAAATTATTTATATTGTTTAACATAATTCGATTAACCGAACTGAAAAAAACAATGATTATGTTCATTTCCAACTCGATTTGGGACAAAAAGGTTCGTTTGGTTCAATCTGCTGCACAATACAGACAGTCATCGTGCACCATAGTGTTTGGCAGACTGCACCGTAGTAACTATTAAATGGCACAATATATCTCGTTTACATAATATGTTATTTATTTAATCAAAGTGCAATATATAATATTAAATATTAAACATGAAATTATATTAAATAATAAGATTTATTTCAATTAAATTTAAAGACTTATAATAAGATTATATATTGTGTATTAATTAAATTTTTGCAATATTACAGATTTGCCTCAAGTATTGAATTGAAATAAATTAAACTTAAAAAAATTGCAATCAAGTCCCTACAACATATCAAATTCTCAAAGTGTAACCCCACAATTCCAACCCACATTTTCAATCCGTCACTTCCGTTCACCACCGCCAGACCTCACTCCCGGCGTTCAGTCGCCGCCGCTGTGNAGACACCTACCTCCGTTGGACTCTCGCCTGAAGTTGCAGATCGTCGTGGCCACCGTCCGCCCTTCCCGTCGTCACAACCCTGTCCCCGCCACAATCCACCGTCGACGCCGTCCAGTAATCGCCGCGACGAAATTCATGGCCACAGTCCACCATCGGTCGCCGTCCAACAAAATCTGAAAAAATGGCCGGAAGTGACGGCCGTCGACAGAGGGAGACGACACTCGGTGGAGCGATGGCTGCAGTTGGTGTACGAGGATTGGCCGGCTGTGATGAGCTGCCGAAGGGGAGGGTCGGGAAGGTTGAGGGTCAAGGAGAGAGGGGAGAGAGGAGAGAGAAGAGAGGGTCTGTTCAGATTTGAGGAGAGAAAACGAGATTGAGGAAAGAGAAAGGAGGGTGAGGAGAGAGAGAGATAGAGGAGAGAGAAAATGTGGGGTGAAGTTGTTTAATGAGTGGGTCCCACTTAATTTATGTGTTGACCATCTTACCCTTAATTATTGGTCAAATATATATATTTGACCACAATATGATCAAATAATTACTAATTTGCCATTAATGATTGACCTAGTTTGACTTCATCATAACCATTAATATGCTTGACCCATGGTCTAGACTTATTCTCATTTCTCACATTAAGAGTCATTCTCATATGATCCTTTCTCCCTCTCTATATATATATATGTATATGTATATGTATATGTTGTGATGCAAATCGACTCTTCATAAGAACATTTATATACTGAGCTTTTTAAAATTTAATGTTTTTGACCAAAATGTGACCGCGCGTCGCGACGCGGCAAATTTAAATTTATAAGTTTTCCTCGACTAACCTCTACTAACTAGTAGTAGTGGCGAGTAAGGGTCGATCCCACGAGGAACAGGAATTAAATTGTGACAATCTCGTATTAATTGAATTACACTACGAAAGCAAATAAAGGGGGGATTGATTTATAAAACTAAAAATAAAAATAAATAAAATAATAATCAAATAAATAAGAGAAGTCCAGTTGTCGGTTCAGTTATCACCCAATCTAAATCTACCACTAATTAATTTCGACGCTTTCTTTAAATTGCTAACAAATTACCAACCCTAGCTAACAACAAGCTCTGTTAACCGAATTTTCCCTTACCGAATATTTAATCGAAATAAGCTCTTCGACTAAACCTAACTAGCGGACAACCTAGAATAAGCTCTCTAGATTTAATACACTAGCAGCATTAATTTCTAGGAAAATAGATCAGTCTAAGCAATGGACTCAAAAGCTCGGACCATTTAACTTATGTTCATGCTACCCTAGAGATGCACGACCCCTAGTTTACTACTAACGAACGAGACAATAACAATTACGGATTAAAGCCTCGAATCTAGCAATTAAATCATAGATATTCAACCTAGCTGGCCAAACCAAATCAAACACCATAATTCATAAACACGATATACAGATAACATGAATCAACTCATCGACAAAATAAATACGGCGTCTCGATTAATCAACGATAAAAATAAATCCTCAAATTCATAGACAAATTCAAGTTAGGGTTCAAACAATCCCTCAAACTGGATAAAAAATACTAGTCTAACATGCTAATAAAAATAAATAAAAATAAAAGAGAGAAGATAAATATCTGCCTCGTGCGCGGTGCGGCTTCCCTCCGCGTGTGTAGCCTTCTTCCCAGCCCGTGCGTGGGTGCGTTTGTACTGTTTCTTTTGGTCTCGGCTTTTTCTTTCTCCCGTCAATAATCCTTTTCCCCTTAGGTGGATTTTCTTTTACTTAATTCCCTTCCTGTTAGTTGTGTATGTCACCAGGTAGCCTAAATAATTCCTTCCTCCTCAATGTGAGTTAATTAGTGTCCTTAGCTGATAAAACTCCTCCAAATAATTCCCTGGTGCCCCTATTCTTCACGGATTTCGGCAAATAATTCCTCTACATCCCAATTAAATGTATGCTGCGTGGGTGAGTTTTGTGTATCCTTTTTCATGCAATTCCTCCAATTACGTGGCCCATCAGCTTTTTAATCACAAAGGACCAAGTATAATTTAATTTTGGCATCCGATTTTAGTTTGCCTGTTATCGAGGAAGGCCCGACAATTGATCGTGTAAACTTTCGTCCAATACTCCAGTTCCACAAAATACTCCAATGAGCTGTAAATAAATATAAAAATATTGATGTATATGATTTCATCCAAATAATAAATAGGTCGAAAAATATAAATGTGCGAATAAATTAAGCATATAAAAATACACTATTAAACATATAAAACGCGCACATTTTTTCGACCTATCAAATCTCCCCAAACTTAAACCGTTGCTTGTTTCCAAGCAACTTAGAACTATAAGCGTATAGATGGAAGTATGTGGAATATTTGCTCTGGTCCTCACACATCTCACATAATTGCATAGCTACAACTTCTTAAACTAATAATCCCCGGACTCGAAATGAAATCATCTTTAGAACGCCAACAATTAAATATCAGTTCTGTGAATTACAGCAGCTCATCAATCTTTTCACCGAGTATACCAATCATGCAACTAATGATACCCCTTTCTTTGTCACCGGTTTGGTTCCTCTTCGCTTCTAGCCAGAAATCAAAAGTCTCGATTTTTTTTCTTTTCTTTTTGTTTTGTTTTTTTTTTTTGGGAACGGCAGCTCCGTCACAGTCCATGGTATTAAGCTATTCGTGCGAGAGTTATGCACAAAAGCTTCACAGACTTTTTTTTGTTTTTCTTTTTTTTTTTTTTTCCGAGACAATCAACTCCCAACTTTCCACATCAAGTTACCTTACACAATCGACATCAAGCAGAATAGTCACCAGCACATTTCAAGAATATAAACAGTTGAAGACCAACTCACTACGAATAAAACACATAAATATCAACCGTCATGCCTTTGTCCCTCAAATGACAACACTTCAAGAATTTAACCAGAAATCATTAACCCAAGTCATCATAACTAGCATAATATTCCAACAAAAGCTCTCATATCATCATTGCGAAATTCCACATACAAATAATATGTACTCACAACAAATCAAGATAATATATAATATAGAGCACACATATCTCACTCTGGTCTCCCCAAACTTAGAGTTTGCACATAAGAGAACAAAATAGAAAGTAAAAGGAAAGAGTTCACCTTATCAAGAGAAGATGTCATGTCGCACACCATTGGGTTGCCTCCCAACAAGCGTCCTTTTTTAGTGTCGTTGGCTCGACTTATTGCTCCGCTTTCTTCAAGCGGTCCATGACGGCTTCATAGGTGGCCTCAAAGGAGGCATAAACCTTGCAGCTCCATGCTTATTAAGGATCCCCTCGTCCGGTGGCGGGTGCTTGACCGGATCTTTTCTTCTTGGTGGCAAATGATCATGACAAAAGATTAGTCCGGGCTCATGGATAAGAGGAAAAATCTCTACCACCTATAAGATGTACGGCTCTTGATTTTCAGCATGCTCGGTTGCTGGTGGTTTGACCTCGAATAGAAGAGATGCAATTTCGGTCATGCTCGGGGCAATTGATAGAGCTTTTACGTCATTTTCACTTTCGGGCGGGCTGTTATCGGGGTCAGTTATCACCCAATCTAAATCTACCACTAATTAATTTCGACGCTTTCTTTAAATTGCTAACAAATTACCAACCCTAGCTAACAACAAGCTCTGTTAACCGAATTTCCCTAGTGTCCTTAGCTGATAAAACTCCTCCAAATAATTCCCTAGTGCCCCTATTCTTCACGGCTTTCGGCAAATAATTCCTCTACATCCCAATTAAATGTATGCTGCGTGGGTGAGTTTTGTGTATCCTTTTTCATGCAATTCCTCCAATTACGTGGCCCATCAGCTTTTTAATCACAAAGGACCAAGTATAATTTAATTTTGGCATCCTATTTTAGTTTGCCTGTTATCGAGGAAGGCCCGGCAATTGATCGTGTAAACTTTCGTCCAATACTCCAGTTCCACAAAATACTCCAATGAGCTGTAAATGAATATAAAAATATTAATGTATATGATTTCATCCAAATAATAAATAGGTCGAAAAATATAAATGTGCGAATAAATTAAGCATATAAAAATACACTATTAAACATATAAAACGCGCACATTTTTCGACCTATCAAAATGCTAATCAAATACGCCCTATATATTACTTCCAAATGCGTTGAGCCAAGTGTCAAGCTCTCGCGCTTCGGAATCTTATGCGGCAAAAGACCATGCTTTCTCTTCATTCTTTTCCTCTACAATTAGTTACCATAAACTATTCTAAGTTTCCTTTTTCCTACATTACCTTATATTACGTTTTCATTCTCTTATCTAACTAATACATCAATTATCATAAATGTTTCTTCTTTTTATTTTAAAAATTTTATAACATTTTCAGTTTGTATTTTATTTTTCATTACTGATATATCAAATTAATTATATTTTAATGATCTTATATTGGAATTCATATTATATGTATATAATACAAAATGTCGATGTGTATCCTTATTATTATTTATCGAACTAAATTAAAATATATCTATTAAAACTATATATTATCTTAAAAAGTAAAATAAAATTTTGTATAACATTATAATTATTTTGAATATTAAATAAATTAAAATTATAATTGAAATAATAAAAACAATGATATATTTCATAATGTTTAAAATATTCCATTCATACACAACATACTTTAAATTATAAAATATTATGATGTTGAATATATTTTAAATAGTATTAGATGGTGGGAGAGAACTGAATAACTATAAAACTAATTATAATATAATTACACTTGGAAAAAATTTTATTAGTTCAAATTGAGTTGTNGTTAAAAAAAATTAATATGACCAAGGACATAAGTATTTCATTTTATAATGAATTTTAATAATAATTGCTATTTTAATTATATAAATAATGTATAATATAATTAATTGATATGAGTCATTAATCAACGAAAAATCAATGATATAATTGAGTTTCACGTACTCATTTTAATAGAATTTTTTTTTCTTTTTATTAGTTGAATAGTTATGTACTGAGACACTCATTCGACAGCCCAAAGGCGATCTGGACAGAGGCAATTATTGGGCTCAAACCCATAGTTTCCCCACAACCACAAGTTACAGGCCCAACTATACATGTGGCTATAAATAAAACTTCCCCTGGAAGACAAAAGAAACCTATTTCAAATTCGCGCGTTCCAATTACCCTGAAGCGATCAACCCCAAAACACCATGAAGGCTATCGATCAGGTGCTTCCTTGGTTAATTTCATAATTTAATTTATCAAATTTGGACTCGAATCAATTTTCTTGTTTCGTTAACAACAAATTTGATTCTTCTTTTATTTCTTCCGAATTTTATCTCGATCAGGAAGTAAAATCTGGTTCGAGCTTTGATTGTGGATCAGTGAATAGAAAACCTGGGCCCAATGATGACACATTAGCTGCTTCTTCTAAGAAACAAGCAGTTTCCAATACTGATATATTCGAGGAGGTACGTAGTGCTCTTCTCCTCGACTGCCGCGCTTTAGATTTTTTTTTTATGACGTCGAGGATTCTCCTTTCTAAGGATGAGTTGCTTAATTATGACTGTTTGTTGATTTTTATCATTTGATTTGGGGAAGCATGGCTCGAATGCTGGTATTTGAGTTGGACAACATGTTAGTTAGTAATATATCTGTTGTTGGTTTGGTTTTAATTGGGTCACGAAAAGGATTCTGAGGATCAATTGCTTCATTATTATTGTGCCGTGCGTTCAATTCGGGGAAGCATGGCTCGATTATATGACCTCGACAACATGTGGCGTTGTTATGATACAGAACGAACTATTCGTTAGTAATATGTTTGTTGTTGGTTTGCTTTTAATTGGGTCACGAGAAGGATACTCGTTTCTAAGGATCGATTTCAATGGAAAATATTTGTGTGGAATGAATGAATGTTGTTCTGTAATGGAAATATTTGAGTTGTGTTTAATGAATGATCTTTCCTTTAGGAAGTCAAATCTGGTTCAGCTGCTAAGAGAAAGGTAGAGCCTGATGACGCATCTTTAGTTGCTTCCGTTGCTAAGAAACCAGCAACCTACGTAGAAACCTCCGATGCTGATGCTACCATTGGACATAATGTTGAGGTATGTTGAGAGCGTCTCCTTGACTGTTTTTATGATACAGACGATGGTTTATTTACTATTGTATGTTGATTTCTGTTCGATATTGGGAAACCATGGCTCACGTGGATTGGTTGGATTTCTTTTGATTGGTCCCCACCCAGGATGAGGAGGAGGTTGATATGGATATTCACAATGAATCCTTTATTGAGTTTCGGTATATTTGTACTCTTGGTAGGAAGGTAATAGTCTATTTTATTTTAACCCAAAAAAACGTATGTTCGATGAATTCTATTTTTTGTTTTTCAGTTTTCCTCCCTTTTTTGTGTGTGGTGCTTGGGGAAATTTGTTCTTCAAATTGGAAGTGTTTGAAAACAGTTAGTTATGAATGATATAGGATGAGGTTATGGAAGCTGAGCTTGCTAAACGTTTTGTTCCTGGATCAAAAGAATTGAACAAAGCACTTAAAATGGTAAGTGATAGATGTTGTTTTAAGCTGCGTTTTTTTTTTTTTCTTTTTTTTTTTTTTTGTGCTTGTGTCTCCTTTGTGGCGTCTTTGATTCCCTTCATGAAGCTTTTCCAATTCGATAGTTATGCGCAACTTAATGATATTCCTCTTCTTCTGATAAATTAAATGTCACTTCTAATTCAGTGTGATTATACAATTTCAGGCCCGTGAACGGATACTCCCAGGCTGGAAGGGTGGGAATGGGTATTCTGATGAGTTTAATTCCAGGGAGGTGTGTGTGAAGGCTGCATTTCTCCGAGATGGTAGTCCTTTGCTTGCATTCATGCTTTGAGTGAAAATTATCACTTCCGTTTGGGTTTTTTATGCAATCAGATCTGTTCTTGTGCAATACTTTTAGACCAACCTAGGAACACTTGTGCTCGACCCAATCTTAGTTGTCTCAATCCGCTATTTGGTTGTGAAACTTTATTTTTGCATGAATCGTAAATGGATGTTGGATGATAAAATGGGCTTGCTCTTGCCAATTAACACACGAAGTTGCTTAGCTATATCTCTTATTCGTTTTCTTTGTAAAATTATAAGGCACATTTACGTTTGTGCTGTCGCTGATGCTAAATAATTGCAAATATACACATGCTAGATAATAAACAAATATGCGCATTTGCAAATTTATTTGTACCTATACGGAAATTAACGTAAATGCTAGATAATAAAATATTGAATTAAAAATAGTATTTTTCCATAAAACATGTCTTTGCTACGAAAAGTATAGCATAACGTGAACATGAAAACATTTAACTCTGTAAGAACAAGTTATGATTTCAAGATCACGAGATGTCATATTCCAAGTGTGCATCATTAGTCAGAGTCAATTGAAAGTTTTTGAAAATAAAGAATTCTTGCATTTGGTCCATTTTGATGTTCAAATCTTTTGCTACCTAATTTTCGAGGGACAAAATATTTAGTGTTAATAGCACAAAATAGCCATGTAAAATTGTAAAAGATAAATAATAGTCATTTTTTGTACAAAGATGAAAGAAAGCCATTTAACCAAGTAAAAATACCAATTTACTTGCGATTCAATTTTTCATATCACAATTTTTTTTTATTTCCCACAACTTAATTTTTCCAATTCACATATCAATTGAATTTTCCCCAATTTCTTAATTTTCACTCTCCCTCCCGTATGCCAAGAACAAAAAAATCCCGTGCAAATTCGACCCCGCTTCTCCGGCAACTTCAAAAGGAAATTCGACATCTCTGGCCAAAGAAGAAGAAGGAGGAGGAGGGGGGAGGAGGAGGAGGGTTCACGATCGGATATAATGTTGGGAATGGGACACTTGTTTCATTCCTATTGGGTAAATAAAAAATTATTTTAGTATATATGCGATATTTTATGTTTTTGTTACTGCATTAGGAAAAAAAAAAAAAAAAAGTCACGGAAATGAGGCGACCCATGTCACAATATGACCTTGGTTCACGATAGGATAATTTTGGGAATGGAACACGTGTTCCACACCTATTGGGTGATTGTACTTTTTAATAACACAAGTATAAATAATTTTTAAAGGACGACAATTGGTGTTAATTTATATTAAAACATATAAAAATTCGTATTTTCCGATTCTTTATAAATAGAAACCACATTTAATATATTTTGACACACAATCCCATTTTCTCTCTTTTCACTTTTTCCATATTCCTACTTTATTGATTTTATCATCTCTTTCATTTTTTTCTTTTTTTGCAATTTTATTTTTTAATTGGGTTCGCATATTTTTAATTGTATGGTAAAATATTATTATTTTTTGAAATCATCACGACGTTAATTATAAGCTTTCTAATTAATTTATCACAACTAAAACAGTAACAAAAATCAATTGTAGATAATACTTAATAAATAAAAATTAAATAAATATTTTAAGTTCGTTAGGAGATAAGGATAAGTTGAGTTGTGCAATTAAAAGAGATAAATAGTTTTTAATTATTAAACTATTTTTACTCCCAACTCAACTCAACCAAACCTAATAATTGTGTGTACATGTTTATTCAACATTTCTATGTAATTATTACTCATACTAAACAGTTGTCCAAATTTGAATTTTCAAATATTTTTCATTGTAGATATTCAATTACCATATAATAAATTAAGATAAAATACTTAATAGAATTAGATTCTAATATTTTATAGAATTTGCAATTTTTGTTTGCAAGACTAAACGCGTTATGCATTACATGGTCAAACTATCGGCTTCAAACGTAACGGAAGCAATCTGAAAACTAATCACAAACAAAATCTTTTTCTTCGGAGCCTTAACCCAATCACAATACAGATAAATGGGAGTTCTAACACATTATTTTTTCAATTTATTCCTATCCAAATCCCAAGGGTCCCCACCAAACATAGCATTTTACCCCTACACCCCTCTAAATTTCTTCCTCAAGTTGAGCTTTCCAAGTTGAAAATAAAGTATGACGAGACACCATACAAAGAAGCACAATCGAATCAAGCTTCCGCACTAGAAAGTCGTAAAATATGATTTTTATACACACACAGAATCCAACATGCGTCATGCATCGAATGTCAGGAGTAATTGGAGGAACATGAAAACAAATAATAACGAAAAATCAAAGTCTAAACATGAGGCTGCTTTTACTGGAATCTTGACATTTACCCCGAGAAGATGGCAAAGCAATAAAAAGAGAGTATACCAGTTAAAGAAGTATAAAGGACATGCCCAAAGGAAGCAGATTGCTGGCTCTATTTTTGTCTTCACTGCTTGAAAACAGATACAAATCATGCACTTCCCCGGAAACACGAACCAATCTATAGGAAAACTCCCCTAAGTGTCAAAAAATGTAGAAAACGCAACCAAAATACCCAGGCAGAATATACAAAGTTTCTAGCCCACATTCTCCCAGGGCTATAAGGACCAGTTTGCACAATCAATCGCTGGCTGGCATGAATCAAGCCAAGTATTTGAATAGGTTAGGGTTGTCCTTGTCCCTCTCCAAATAATCGCGGGTAATCAAATCCTCAATCCTCTTCTTGACCGCTTTGACATCGGGCTAGAGAGGAATAGGGGTCTCATTTCAGCATTATATTCACACAAATGTGGTGAACTGCTGGAAAATATTTTTACAAAATGAAAAATATTAAAAATATTTTGTACTCTACCTTGAACATGCGACCCTATTGTTCCATGCACTCGGCAACTAACTGCCGGTAGCCCAAGACCTTCCTACTCTTCATGATACGCACAATTGAAGCATCAATGGCATAACGTCTGTCCTTGTCAACGTCCTCGATTACCTTCTTTTTCTCATCCACTGGGGGTAACGGAATCTACATTCTCAAAATTATATTGTTATACACAATGTGAATTTAGCACAAGAAGAATTGGAAAACAGAGAGAGGCGAGAGATACCCTAATCCTCCTCATCTTGTCAGTGAACTTGGAATTGAATTCAAAAACATCAGATGGAGAAATCGTTCGGGTGTTGGGCTCCTTGTTCAGAATCTTGTGCTTGGCACATGAAAGCGAGAGTAGCAGTCGGATAACATCATCATCAGGTAAGTTCAACTGAGTCATGATCTCACGATAGCTCAATTTGTCCGTGGTGTTGAACAGCAACAGGACAGCCGCCTGGAAATACAAAATTCAAAGCTAAGACCACCACAAGCACAAAATGTTATATGAGCTAACCATTAATTACATTTAGCTCTATTGTTTTCTGATCGAATTTTCCATTCACAATACAAGTTCCCAGAGAATATATGAATGTTCGTTTCCTGTGCTTTGTTTTTGTCTGGTAGAACTCCCTAAAAACCTCAACACACTTGACCTGGAACAAAAAGTTCAAAAAAATGAAAAATGGAACTTCAATGTGTAAAATTGTTGCTGAAACAAATGAGACTTCCCAAGTATGAGCCTATACCATCTCAGCGGACAGCTTAAGATCATATGTCTTGTAAGTTGGCCAGAAACCCGTGGTGAGGACAGTAACTGTCAAGTCAAAGCCTGGACTAGCATGTGAGTTATTGGTGAGGTATTCCTCAAAGCTAACTTGATTCTCTCTAGCTAGAGCCAAATCTGTGACCTGGAATATTTGAAGCACGCGAGCAATCAAGAACACAATGCAAGATGCTTACCCAGAATCGAGATGAGTAAATAATATGATTTGGCTCACCATTCCCTCCATTTTTGAAGTAAACTGGGCACCATGTTGCTGCTTCAACTTTGTCAGAATACTTCTTTCATTTTCGTCATTAGCACTTTTATCAAACAACAGGCGGCGTGAAAGCTTATTCCTGCCACGACACAAGAGCAGTAGGAAAAGCATAATAGCAGAGTCTACTGATCAACATAAAAGCTCAAAAACAAACTCACCTGTAAAATTCTGCAAATAAATCCTTGTCACTGATGTATGCAAGAAGTTTAACGACCTGGAAAAATAGGTTTCAATTACTGCATTCAAAATATGCTACAATGAAAAAATATAAATGCACACTGCAATTTGCACAAAAAAAAAACACCTTCTCCAGAGTGTCTTCAATAGCTTCGTCACTCAATTTTTCACTTCCACCTTTTCTTGAGAATGTTGTCACAAAACGTTGCAAGAAGATCGGCGCTGGAATTTCCAGCAACGCCCTTGTTGCAGAAGATTTCAAAAGCTTCCTTAAGAGCCTGTGTAGAAAATTTGGAAGTCACAACTGGAGCAGACAGGTTAAGTTGAAAAACAGAACATGAAACCAATGTGATGATCCTAACCTTGTGGAATAGAGTGTGATTTACAAAGCAGTCATTCACATATGTCATGTACTTGTCATGGAGCTCAATAACATTTCTTACAAACACCTGGGATGTACAAATGTGAATTAAGTCTATTATGTGAAACCATACAAAATAAAAGGAATAGTTAATAAGTTACCTGTTCCTGCAAGCCGACAACATCTTTCTTTTCAGCCTGCACAAGACATCCTCAGATTAATAACATGCAGAATGAATCAAATTACTGACAGAGAACATTGAAATCATATATTTATTATCTAAATGTTTGACTGTGCTGTCTACCATGACAATGTTTTGTCGATGAAATCATTATTATCTCATGTCCTCTCAACATGATACATTATTTGGAAAATTTCTGTTTTCAAGGATTGAGTAAAGTTCTTTTCCTTTTTTTCTTTTTTTTTTTATTATATTATGTAACAGTAAAGATCTAATCCTCAGAGAATTGGACATTATGACAACTGCAATACATGATACATCATACTAATTTCAGAGTGATCGTCTTCACAAAGTTTCACAAAATATCCTGCAAATTTATGGATAACTTAAAACAACACATAAATATTCCACACCACATAGTAGAGGTTGTGATCGTCTCCCTCAACTTTTTGATGCACCACTTAAATCGTCAAAGACTCACTTCTATTCATAATTCTCCACTATATCCAATCGACAATCAATATCCAAATAATAAGAATAGTCATAAGCTATACAAATCAGTACTTGCCCTAGTTGTTGCTATACAGAGGTTATACACAAAGAGAGTACAAAATTGAGTAAAATATAAATATCATTGCCAACAAACCTTCTTGTTGCTTGCAGCATCTTCCGCTTGTTTAACCAAGTAAGTACCTTCACCGGTAACATGCTGTGTGTTGGAATTTCAGAAACCATTGTATGTTAGCATTTAAATCCATGTACAGCTTGGCAAAGTCAGCATAGCATATAATTCTAGTCAGCCACTGCATTTATGAAAAAATCAAAACCATTGCTCACCTGCTTAAAGATATTGGCTACTGGTTCTAAGCCTCTTGGGTATTTTAGAAAAGAGCCTATACATCCTCGACAAATCCTCTACCTAACGCATAAATAATTAATAAAGTTTAGATTTATGAAAGAAAAAAAAAGAAAAAAAAAAAAAGAAGAAGAAACGTCCAAATCAATAGATAATCAGTGATTTGACTGTTCCAAGTACCTTGTCATCTTTACGTAAAGCATGACAACCTGAGTGCTCCTTCTCTAACAGTTGGGTGGCATGAACCGACAACAATTCATGTTGTACTTTCTATCAGAACAAAAACAAAAGATCAAAATGAAAACGTGAGAGATAACAGTACTGAATCAGATAAAGCACATAATCATGAGTAAGCATAATAGACATTCCAGTTCTTGAGATCATCTAGATTTGATCATGTGAGAGAAAGAACTGACCTCAAGCAACTTTGTCTCACTACTAGAGTGAAGATAATGAGAAACCCTATTCTTTTCACGTTTTAAACACTCCTCAGCCTGGATTTTTCAAATAGTTAGTTAGCAACCACGAAAAAAAAATCCACGGTAGTGGCAAAAGAAAACTTACTTTCGACATATAGTCAGGGAATGAATCATCTAAGATCCATTTAGAAGCCTTCCGCGAATAGTAAGCAGTTGTGCCTTTCAACATTACTTCTTCAAAATCATTCTCATAATAAGTCATCTGCCCCATACCAATTTCAACGAAAATATCTAGCACATTCTTCAATAGGGCTCTATCTATCAGCTCTCCTTCCCTCTCTTGGTCAATCTAGAATGAACAAACACATTAGAATTTCACGAGGAAAACAGATGGGAGGGTAACAATGAATTAACATACCAACAATATAACAGCATCCCTAGCTTTGCTGTTTAACTCTTGATATACCTGAAAGGAAAACCAAGGTTCAAGTTAAACCATAAACAAAATTTTAATATGACAATTGAAAGACATAAACAATAAGGGGCAAGAAACAAGAAATGTGCTGCGATGGAAAAATCTGATCAAATGTCATTTCATCACAATTAGAAAATATAGCTTGACGTAGTCAAAATCTTACCAGCTCACGGAAGCATGTCGGAGCAAGTACATAAAGAGCTGGAAGTGACCGTCTTTTACCATTTGTGAGCTGGTAAGTTTTAGACTACATCAAAAACCCTAAATCGAGATCGCATCAAAGCAGATTCTTTCGGATATTGAGCACTCTTCTCTGGTCATGGCAGCAGATCCTCCTGTTTACGCGTTGGCGTTTCCTGAATCTATGGCCGAGTACCGGAGGACCATCAACACAATTAGATTCTTTGTGGGGATGAAGCAATCAGATTATACCGCAATCACTATTTAAGGTATCCCCTTCTTCGACCGAAAGCTGTTACAATCGAAGATCTGAGACATGTCATGATGACGTTACTGTTTAGAGGTTTCCAAGATTTGCAGAATATCTTGATTCGTGTTCGGGTAAATAACATTTACCTGATAGGCTTTGAATTTGAAGTAGACAACGATGAGGAACAGCTGAGATTGCGCTTCCATGGGGATGAGGGGTTATTCCCTGGTGGGACAGATCTCCCGTACAGCGGACAGTATCCTCAACTCGATAAGTTGGACTTAAGGAGTCGTATGATCATAGGTAGAGAGGGTCTCCAAAAGGCTTTTCGGTTACTAGGCATGGCAAGAACACTGCAAGATCATAACTATTTGCAAGATCATAACTATTACCGAAGGGAATCATTTAGAAGTGCAATATTGTCTGTGGTCTACCATATTTTCGAGGCCGCACGCTTTGTGGAAATAGAGAGCTTTATAGCTGAAAACTATGAAACTGAAGCAGGAATTACTCTAACTAAGCTGCATGTAGGGCTTGTTAATTGTTGGGTCAAATATAGTCGGGACATTGTTTTGAACATGGAAGGCAAAGGAGAAGCCATGTTGATACTGGCCTTGTGAAAAACTTTTCTATGATTGATGACAGACTGAAGGACATAAAGGAAATACAACATATTGATTTGGACAATCCACCCCCTCTTGGGAACCTTTTTTTGAAATCCTTTTTTATTTTTCCATAGAGGAGAAAGGTTCCCAAAAGGGGTTGATTGTCCATATTGTATTTCCTTTATATCATCAATCCTAGAAAAGTTTTTCACATATCAACATGGCTTCTCCTTTGCCTTCAGTGTTCAAAACAATGTCCCGACTATATTTGACCCAACAATTAGCAAGCCCGACATGCCGCTTAGTTAGAGTAATTCCTGCTTCAGTTTCATAGTTTTTAGCTATGAAGCTCTCTAACTTCACAAAGCGTGGAGCCTCGAAATATGGTAGATCACAGACAAGATTGCACTTGTAAATAATACCTTTCGGTAATATTTATGATCTTGCAGCGTTCTTGCCATGCCTAGTAACCGAAAAGCATTTCGGAGACCCTCTCTACCCATGATCATACGACTCCGTAAGTCCGACTTATCGAGTTGAGGATACTGTCCGTTGTACGGGAGATCTGTCCCACCAGGGAATAACCCCTCATCCCCATGGAAGCGCAATCTCAGCTGTTCCTCATCGTTGTCTGCTTCAAATTCAAAGCCTATCAGGTAAATGTTATCTACCCGAACACGAACCAAAAATATTCTGCAAATTTTGGAAACCTCTAAACAGTAACCTTATCATGACATATCTCTGATCTTCGATTGTAACAGCTTTCAGTCGAAGAAAAATCAAGCAGTTACAACAAATCTCCTATCTCTCTCTTCACTTTCGTATCTCTCTCTCTTCTTTATCTCCCTCCTTCATATCTTATTTACATAAAAATACAAAAAATTCACAAAATAGCAAGATCATAACAATTGGTATTCAGAGCAGTCGATCCTCGGACCATGGCGGACGAGCTACTTCTCGATCAACTAGAAAAGCAACAAAAAATTTTAGAACACAAGATGCAGCTGGAAATTCAGAAAAGATAGGTCAGCCATTTGAAGTTGCAGACACAAATTGATGGAATCAAGTCCAATTTCCAACATCAAATGTCAGGGGTAAATGGTAAATTCGATAAACTGAATGATATACTTCCTTCCATACAATTGCAACTTCATCTTCTTCAAAACCGAACCCAGAAATTACCACCTCAGGCCCAGAATCAACCTTCTCCATCTCTCCCTGCACAACCAAATCCTACTCAATTTACCTCCACCATCAACTCCAATTTTAATTCAGCTCTTCAAAACCTCAACGAAACCAATTTTTCACAAAATTCAGGAGAAAATTATTGATGAGGAAGGCTTTTTGTTGATCGAAAAACCAGTTGGAGTTTCAAAACAAGAGCCAATATGTGTTGTTGTTACCGAGCATACACAGCCGAAAATAATGGCCCAACTGAATCCTACTTTTGAAGCTTTCACTACCCCTGATTATGAGATGAAATCCCCCAGCAACCCAGAACCCCCTCAAAATTTTCACGAAAATCACACAAAAAAATTCTCACCTCGATGCCAACAGTACCACAAATCGGTGAATCTGTTGAGGTCTTAGATATGGCTGCAGTGGATAACCAAACACCGAAAGATGGAAAGCCCGATGAAGTACTCGATCCTCCTGGTGAAGGTGAACTGGAGCTGCTGGGACTGTTCCAAGTGAGAACGGTAACGTTGAGATGGACGTCCTTCCTGATAGATCGTGGAAGACGAGCACGAGGTGAGGGCTCTGTGGAGAAGACAAGGGGCGGCAGCCTCGAAGAGGCTTGGTCTCGCCGGCCTTCGAAACGTGTTGGTAGATGTAGATATTATTCACGACGAACCACGAAGGAGCTGGTCCTTCCTCGCCGGAGTTGCAGCGACGACGAACGAAAAAGGCAAGGGGACTCGCCGTCGGAGCTGCCGGCCTCGCGGTTACGAGAAGAACCAAAACGGCGGTCGAGCAAAGGCTAAGATCCATCAAATTCACAAGAACGGCAGGCCTTCGGAAGCGTGGTCTCGCCGGGTGTAGAAACGTGGTGGTGGATGGGGAATTCCAACACAAAACATGAATCGATTTCAAAGCTACGGAGGGGCTGTGAAACAAGGTCGACGGACGGAAGCTTGGTCTCGCCGGCTTCCGAAAAAATGGAGGGCGGTTGATTGGTCTCGCCGGATCGCTAAAACGTGAAGGTTACCGGGGCCGGATTCCGAATTCCAATCGAGCAATTTCTCTTCTCTGGCCATGGTTGATTCGGGAGAAAGGGAAGAGCCTTTGGGCTGTGGTTTCTCTTTTGGGCCAATATCAGGTGGTACGGTTGGGTTGGAGGCGTGGTCGCGGCGAGGCGATGACCGGAGAAAGGGACCGGAGATGCAATCGAACTTCAATCTCTGGGGAGGAGTTGAGGATTGCAGAAGTTTCGAGAACGAAAGGATGTTGGGTGGGCTACGTTATGTGAAAGTGAAATGGAGTTGGGCTGCTATTCGTTTGGAATTTTTTACTAAAAAAAAGTAAAAAAAACACGTGAATACGTTTTTCATTTGAACACGTATTTACATAATACGTTTTCACTAGTAAAACGTATTCACGGAATACGGTTTCCTTAAAAAAATTAGTTAACGTAATTAACTTAATTAAAATATAAAAAAATGTATTAGCGAAATACGTTTTAAAGTAAAAAAAAAAACACGTATTATACAAATACATTTTATGATTAAAATTAATTTTACACTTATGTTTTAATCATAAAACGTATTCTTGGAATCTGTTTTATAGATAAAATTGATTTTTACAATTGTTAAAAGAAAAAATTCAGAAAATAATATTTCAAAATATAATACGTATTTTCAAAATACGTTTTTCCTGTAATTTTGCCTCAAATTTTTTTTGTTGCCTAATTTTAGCCCCAAATTGATTTTGCCCTAATTTTGCACAGAAAACGTATTCTTGAAATACGTTTTTTGTTTAAAAAAAATGTATTATGAAAATACGTTTTACTGTGCAGGTTTTAGCAAAAATCCTATTAGAGATCATTTGACAACCAAATATACCTGTTCACATCAAAATACACCTGTTCGAGCAACTAATACCAACATATTCGCCCAATAATAATCCAACATACACTATAAACAAACAAATGAAACACAATAATTTCTTGAACAAACAATATATACGAAACGATATAATTCGGTTTATACAGACAATCCAACAATTCAAAATGAACACAAAATCCACGAATTCAACACAACTAACTAGGAAGGAGTGTATGGAGCCCTAGGCTTGCACGGTCTGGACCCCCTCCGAGTATATACCATGTGAGAAGAAGACGAAGGTTGAGGTGTGAAAAGCATGTCAGTTTGAAAAGCCTGCTCATTTTCATCTTCTTTATCTGAATAATTCTATTGAAAAAAGAAATCACTGGAAAAAAAAAAGAAATTGTTAATTTAAAAATCTCACCTTGTTGAGGCTCGGGCTGCTCAGGTTGGAGGTGTTGGGCGGACGGCTGAGTGCGGGGACGGGCCCGAGGTCTTCTACCGCCACCAATGTTGGGGGCGGGTTGATGCCTGGCCGTGTGTGACTGTGTCCTCATGGGGCAAATGTATTCGTCTTGGGTGAAAACTTGACTGGACGGCCCTCCATGTGGAACATCCTGGCCCCCAACAGTCAGAGAAGAGAAGACAAAGTTGTACGACTGTTGGAAGCCGGTCTGCGCTTCTGGAGGGATTTGAGGCATAAATGGTAGAATATCGGATAATGCGCCATAAACCCCTTGTAGTGCAGAAGTCTGTAAATAAAATTCATAATAATTAGTATGAAACACAAAATAATAATAATAATAATAATAATAATAATAATAATAATAATAATAATAATAATAATAATAATAATAATAATAAACACAAATAATGAATACTTACCTGACAGCCTAACCGCTCGGCAAGTGGCTGATACCCGCCCGCCTGTTGGAACACCGGGTAATTGGCAGGGTTATTGATGAATCTCACAGTCCTGCTGTGAATCCATTCAAGGTGACCCTGCTCCGGCTGCAGATAGTCGTACACAGGGGCAACTGGGAGGAGACGTTGTTCTATTTCTTCGGTCCACGAGCTCAGAAACGGTACATGGAATGCAGCCCAATCATAAAATGCCCTCCCAGTCATTACCTGACCTCTGTGGTGTGTCCCAGTCTCGCTCATCCCGAATGATCGGATTTTGGGGGATGGACTGGCGACACCCAAGTTGACGGAGGACCCTATCAGGCAGGTGTACCTCCCGGGTGTTCCAACTGAAGATCCACCCCCGGTACATTCAAAATTGTGGATCTTTTGAGCACGCACCGGGAGAATATCATCCTCCAGGTGTTTTTGACGTAAAAAAAAATAACAATTGAATTAGTAATTAAGTTATTACAAAATTAAAAACAAAAAAAGAAAGATAAATCAAGCAATAGGAATTAAGAATATTACATCATTCTCTCCCAGCCCTGTCAACTGATCCCGGTAGGCGACCAATGTTTTGGTTATGTTTGACTTCTTTTTCGGTCCCATCCACCTTAAAAATCACAGAAAAAAAAAGTTTGTAATCACAAAATTTGATAATGATAATAATGTACATATTAAATAAAAATAAAGGTGATTACCTCGCTCCCAATGGACAATCAGGCAGATTATCAAATCTACTGGTCTTCACTATTGGGCGAATACGAGGGATATGCTCCCATGCCCAAACCTACACAAATGGATATTAATTTTGGTATTAGGTATTAGCCGAAGTAAGAAAAAATAAAATATTAAATTTTCAAATAACAATTAAATAAATTTACCTGGATCAATTGAACGCAGTTGTTGATCCACTTCTCCTTGGCCTTGTACGAGGTTGACAACGCTCTATATACTCCGGCCAAGAGCGCTGAACCCCAGTTGTACCCCTTAACAACATCTATGTCCTCCAGCAGGTGGAGCCAGTAAAGTGGGACGCCATTCGCCCGCTGGTCGGGGAAGATGAAGGACCCAATGCACCAGAAGATAAGGGCCATCGCCCTCCGCTCGTACACGATGTCCGGTTCTCCTTCTTGCAACACACGGTTGCATTCCTCCTCTAACCCTCCATCATTCAGATAATGGCATTTAATGTCCCAAGACTTTGGATCCTGTGCTGCTTACTCTGCCTCGGTGGTGAGAGGATCCTGAGAGTGGTTTTTCCATATTAAAAACAATAAATTTGAGTTGACATATATTTAAAAAAAAATTATGTGAAAAAATATACCTGAACATAGGGCTCAAACCCTAGCAAGTCCTTGCACTTCTCTCGCCGTTGTAGGGGTGATAGATCTGTAGTCACTCCCACAACAGCAGCTCTAATGATTGGCAGACTGAACAGGACTTGTACGTCCTGGAGCGTGATGGTGGCCTCGCCGAAATCGAAATGGAAGGTATTCGTCTCTGGGTGCCACCTCTCCACGAGAGCAGTTCGACCCATTCGAAACAAGGGTCCGAAACCAGTCCAGTCAATGACCTCCCAAACCGACCGTGGCTGGCTTGACAAAGCCTCCCAGAACTGACTGTCGAAACGACGGTTTGTGAGCGTCGTGTTACGAGCTCTCGGCGCATTATCAAATACCGCCTGTGACCGGTGGCGGTACTGGAGATATAGAAGAGTGTCATCCCTCGGACCGGGATGGACACTGTACTGCTGAGACTGTGAGGAGGACGATGAAGCCATTTATCTACAAACAATAAATTAGAAGGTATGAAAGAAAATATTTTCTTAAAAATTTAAATAAAGAGGACGTACTGTCATTATTTAATAAAAATTAGAGTTTACAATTATCAATAGTGATCAATAACGAGATTATCACACGGGATTATCAATAGTGATCAAGAACAATGGTAATATATTGTTTACAATTTAGATGCTAATAACATTAACAAAAACACTTCACAACAATAGCAAAACACCAAGTATTTCAACATATGTCCAAGGCAACAACATTAGAGTTTCGAGTCCACAATAACACAATTCGAAGTTCTAATTGGAGTCCTAATTCCGAAAAATCGAAGTTCACACAATAGTTCACAATTTCACAATTTCAACAACATTAGAGTTTCGAATCCTAATTCAAAGTTCTAAATCCAAACCCTAACGTCCTAATTCCAAAAGTTCTCTACACCCTAATTGCAAGCCTCATTCAAACAATAATTCAAATTAACCCCTAATTCTACCCCTAAATGTAACCCTAACTTTAAAACATCAAATTTTCAAGCAACCCTAACCTAAAAACGTATTATGAAAATTCGTATTTGTTGAAAAAATTGAAAAAATTTTAGGCCATTTACTTAATTGACGAAGAGATTTGCAGTTGACGTTGGCGCGACGGCGGTGGCGCGGCGGCAGTGGGACGGCGGCGGTGGCTCGGCGAAATTTTTTTTTTTTGGGCAAATTTTTATTTTTTCGCTCTGTTGCTATGCTCGCTCGACGGGGTCTGTGAAGAAGACGACCCGTTTTTTTGTTTTGTATATTACAGAGAACGTATTCAGAAAATACGGTGTCTGTAAGAATTAATTGTAAACCGTAATTGTTGAATACGTTTTCTACTTTATATTTTTTTAATTAAATAAAAAATATATATATGATATATAATATATAATATACATAAAATAATTTTATACTTTAACATTACTATACTATATTATATACTATATAGTATGTTATATACTATACTATATTATAGTGTGATATGAGATATTATATGACTGAGGAATAGACCGATCTACCGCATTGGTTGGAGGATGATCGACCAAAAGGGAAGAGATCGAGCAGAATAGCAGAACTGGTCGAGGATCGACCTAGCAATGGGGGCTCGATCAGATCGAACATCCAACAGGTGGAGAACGATCGAGAGTGTGGCCTGAACGCGGGAAAGCGCGTGGGTGGCGTTAGAAGATCCTAACGGCCTGCGCAGGAGAATAATCTCCCCCAGCTCAGAGGGACACGTGGCAAGAATACATTGGTGCAGAGCGATAGTGGTGTTAGCCACCTCTGACATCTCTGACAACACGCACACTATGTGTGTACGGACGGGCAGGACAGCTCACCAAAATCCGGGCAGCTCCTAGGGCAGGTATCTCACTCCTATATATATGGGGGTGAGTCTTTTCTTGTGACTTACGATTTATCCATTCTTTACTTTGGAAAATTGAACAAACAAACACATACTGACTTAAGCATCGGAGGCTCTTCACCAGAAAACCCCTCCGGTGTGAGAGTTTTGTGCAGGTGCGCGGCGTTCTACCGGCGAGGAAGAGGAAGGCGAGTCGATCTCAAGCCGGTCGGAGTGTTTTGCGTTACCATTTGGCGCCGTCTGTGGGACTTTCGTTCGAAAAGTGGTGTGCTGAGATCTCTGAAGCTCGGTGGCTATGGCGGACGAAATTCCTAGAAGAGATTTGCAAGCATCGTTCGACGACACGTGGACGATGACGAGGCCGTTTGGAGAAGGCCCTCCTCCGGGCTTCTCTGGACCCTCGCATACATCGGTGACTCTGACGCCCATTCTCCAAGGTGTAGGAGCCACGCCGGTGCAACCAGAGGCTGACGTGGGCTCAAGCCGGGCCCAGGAGACACGTACAGCTCAAGGAGAGGCGATCCCAACGCCGCTGCAACCAGGTCTGGCCGTGACGCTGCAGCAAGGAGCGATGGTGTAGGGAGCAGTACCGCCGCCGGTGGAGGAGCCGCGTCCCGGCCAGCAAGTGGTGATGACCAGGCAGAAGATGCAGCAGATGGTTGCGAACGCGGCGGCACAAGCAGTTCAGCAAGTCACTCAAAGCCGTTCGCAAGTGGCTGCTAGACCAACGATGGTGGATGAGGACGTGTCTAGCTATGGAGGAGATGGAGCCTTGCGAGATCGGGAGGTAGAGAGACTCGCGGAGCAGGTGAGGCAGATGCAGGCTAAGATGGATAGTCGACCTGAAAGGCGTGCTCGAGGACATCCGTTCTCGAGGGATATATTGGCTGCACCACTATCTGCGAATTTTCGAGACATGAGTTTGGTGTTCGATGGGACCACTGACCCGTCGAGGCACGTAAGGGCGTTTGAGAATTTGGCTGTGTTACATGGTTATTCTGATTCTGTTAGCTGCAGGGCATTCTTGTCGACCTTGAGAGGAGGCGCGCTCGATTGGTTCCAGGAGCTCCCTCGTGGATCGATCAAGGACATTGATGATTTCGCGGAGAAGTTGATGACCCAATACGCGAGTGCTGTGGCGCAGGAGAAAATGTATTTGACGCTGATGGCCATGAGGCAAGGGGAGAAAGAGTTGTTGCGCAAGTATGTTGCGCGATATAATCAAACTTGTTTGGAGATCCCCATGGCTGTGGATGAGGTGAAGGCCGGAGGGTTGATAAGGAGTTTGCGAGCAGGGACCTGTCGAACATCTTTAGCCAAAACCCCTGCTCGTACGTATGATGACGTTTTGAAGAGGTGCAATAAGTATATTAACCTGGAGGAGACGGAGGCGGAATTTGCTAAGTTGGAGGAATTATCTAAGCCGGAGTCTAAGAAAGAAAGGGCGAACTCACCCCAAAGGGTGTCGCCGGGGAGAAGATCGCCCAGGAGAGAGGGTCGTGGCAGGATTGATCGTGGGCGAGAAGACAAATGGAAAGATCGACCAGTGTTTGGAGGGAAGCGGTTCCATAACTTTACGCCCCTGAATGCAAAAATGGGAGAAGTGCTGGTGGCTATCGAGAAGAAGATCGAGGGCAAGGACGTGATGTGGCTGAAATCGAGGAGTGAGGGGCCGACGCAACCCAGGTCGGAGAAGTACTGCCGTTTTCATAAAGATTATGGGCATACGACGGAGAAGTGCAGACACCTCAAGGATGAGATCGAATGCCTTATCAGGGCGGGACATCTCAAGGAGTTCATGTATGAGGATAAGGCAAAAGGGAAGGACAAAGGCAAGTGTCGGGAAGATTCGGTGGAGCGGAGTGATCAGGAAGATGATGAGGAAGACGAGCCTCGAGAAGGGAGAGGTGAGCGAGGAAGCAAAAGGAGGCAAGGGAGTAGAGACCGAGGAGGACAGGAGGATCGTGGCCCTGTGAAGAGGGGGACTATCTATATGATTTCGGGAGGTCCAACAGATGGGACTTGAATAATGCGAGGAAGGGGCATGTTCGAGCAATAAAGAGAAAAAGAGAGAAAGTGGGGATTACTACTCGAATGCCGGAAATAAGTTTTCGGGCAGAAGACGTCGAAGGAGTGGTGTTGCCTCACAATGATGCGTAAGTGATTACGGCGGAGGTGGCAAGTTTTGATGTAAATAGGGTGTTCATCGATACCGGAAGTTCGGTAGATGTAATGTTTTATGATTGTTTTGTGCAGATAAACAAGGAGCTTAACCTTGAGCTGAAGCCGGTGACCACAGCCTTATACGGATTCAATGGAGGCGAGGTAATGCCAATGGGAGAGGTGAGCCTATCTGTCGCCTTGGGGCAAGGAGCGACAAGGAAGGTGAGAATGGTGAGGGTTGTGGTCGTTGGAGAAGAGTCCTCGTATAATATCATTTTGGGAAGGACCAGTTTGAATGCATTCCGGGCGGTCGTGTCGACGTACCATATGACGATCAAATATCCAGTGGGTGAAAACATTGGTGAGGTCGCAGGAGATCAGCTTACTTCGAGAAGTTGTTATCAAACCACAGTGAGCAACAATCGACAGCTCTCGAGGAAGCAGGTGAAGCTCGAAGAGGGAATGTTTAATCGACCCGGGGGTTTGAGGTCGAAAGAGGAAAAGGAGAAAGTGGGTAAAGGGAAGGAGAAGGTGGAGATGCAACCAGGAGGGGAGATCGAGGAGGTTCAGATGGTGGAAGGGTGCGAGGAGAGGAAATTCTGGATGGGAAAGGAAATCAAGGAGCCCCTAAGGTCAAGACTGATCGAGTTGATCAGGGAGTTCGCGGAGAAGTTAACGGGATAAAGGCGGAGGTGATCGGACATCGTTTGAATATTGATCTAACGGTGAGGCCGGTGAAACAGAAGATGAGACACCATGGTGCAGAGATGGACAAGGTGATCGAGCAGGAGGTTGAGAAGTTATTAAAGGCGGGTCATGTTAAGGAGATCCAGTTCCCCGAATGGTTGTCGAACACAGTGATGGTATCCAAGTCCGGAGGAAAGTGGAGGATGTGCATTGATTTTCGTGACTTAAACAAGGCGTGCCCGAAAGATTTGTATCCACTGCCCAGGATCAACCAGCTGGTCGATTCTACCGCGGGGTGTGAGTTGCTCAGTCTTATGGATGCATCCCAGGGGTACCACTAGATCCCCTTGGCTCGAGAAGATAGGAAGAGGGTAAGTTTTGTTTACGAGCAGGGGCACTTATTGTTACGTGGTGATGCCTTTTGGCTTGAAGAATGCGGGTGCGACGTAGCAACGGTTGGTCGATAAAATTTTCAAGGAGCAGTTGGGGAGGAATATGGAGGTGTACGTTGATGATATGTTGGTAAAAAGTAAGGCGGAGGCTGATCATGTGAACGACTTAAGGGAGACATTCATGACTTTACGGAGGTATGGCATGAAGCTGAATATTGCTAAGTGTTCTTTTGGGGTGAAGTCGGGGAAGTTCTTAGGGTATATGGTGACAAAGAGGGGGATCGAGGTCAACCCGGAGAAAGTGAGGGCGGTGATCGAGATGAAACCGCCCACAAAAGTGAAGGAAGTGCAGATCTTAACAGGTAGGATTGCGGGTTTGAGCCGTTTCATATCTAAGGTGGCGGAGAAGAGTGGTTCTCTGTTTCGAACACTGAGAAAGAGCTCGAAATTCCAGTGGACGGAGGAGGCCCAGGTCATTCGAGGAGTTACAGAAGGTGTTGGCCAATCTGCCTCTATTGGCGAAGCCATTCCGGGGGAACATCTAGTGCTATACATATCGATCGGAGAAATGGCGGTAAGCTCGGTTCTGTTAGCAGCAAGAAAGAAATAACCTAGGAACAAAAGACAAC